GAAACAGTGGAGCATAAAAAGGAGATAAACCACCTGACACACCCCTGACGCAGCATTGGGCGTCCTGATTTCACTATGGTTGACCTTGACCTTGAAAACCTGTGCAGGGATCAATGTGACCTTGGGAGGGACCTTTGAAAAAAAAAAAACAAGCTCAATACACTTCCTGAGTCCTGTTCTCCCTCTAAAACTGTCCGTCTGTCCCTCACAGCAGTCAGCATTTGGCCTAGCCTCTCAGCTTGAATCTGAACATAGACTCAGTTATGTAAGGAGGAATGGAAAAGAGCCCCTGTGCCAAAAAGATTATCAGATTAGTAACAAGATAGTAGCACAGCAACTTGATCCTAGCACATCACAGCATCACTGTTGCTGGTTGCTGCTGCATGGATTAGCAGGGGGCCAATGCCACCTGCCAGCCACCGTTGAACAGCACTGTCATGATGTAACAGTGAGCGAAACCTGCTGAGGGAGTCTGTGTCGCGCAAATGACAGCAGCAGTTGTGACTTACAACATGTTTAATAGCATGTAAGTCTTCCTGCCATTTACACTGCAGACTCCACAATTAAATTAATTCAGTGTCAGGAGGTCCGGTGGTGGTGATAATGTTTATTTCCAGGCTTCACCACCTCAATGCACGTCATGAGAGGTGGCAGTGACCCAACCCTCATGCAAGGATGAGAACCGAACAAAGAACTAATTAGACAGAAGGGGACGCATAGATCGGTTTTGAGAAAGGAAATGACATTCAGTGAGGAGATGTGGCGTATTTATTCAGGAGATCAGAAAAGGTCTTGATACTCTTGACATTAATGTGGTTTGTTTAAATTCTCAGACCAGCTGTGTAAAAACTCTCTGGGAAACAGGAGGAGGGACATCTCTGCCAAAAACTGCCCTTGAGTCACTCATTTCAGTGCATTTCCAACTCATTTCACATTTTCAGCCCCACTGAATGTTAATGTTTTTCAACGGAGAAACCACTTATCTTTGGCGTTCACATTTACCTCAAATTATAGTGAAAAAAATAAAATAAAAACCCAATAACAGAGTATATACACAGAACATATGGAGTAGATTTGCACATTTAGTCTTTTGTTTATTCAGTGTCATCCTAAACTGACTAAAATGTTATGAAGAAGATATGTTCTTACAAAAATATGATTAATGAATAATTTGACAGTATTAAAGTCATTACTCACTAAGTTAATTACAGTTAATACAGTTGAATGGGACCAGTATACTGATGGCCTATTTCTGCTTCAGGAGAGAGTCTATCAGACGTTTTCAATTCAGTCACACTGAGACTGCAAAGGTCGAGGTCAAATTCTTGGCCTCATTATTTGTAATGCAAGAAATGTGCAGTTTCCCTACTGACCTATGTGTATTGTTTTCTGTCTCAAACACTAATGGATTGCTGCTGTTTCCACATGACAAGCTTAACAACAACATAGTGACTGTGGGAATGTGCTAATATAGTGAGGTTGAAAGAAAGGCAGTTACAATTTCATTTATATTTTCTGCATGAACTGCAAATAAATGTTGCATGATTTTTGGCAGGAATTTAGTTTAGATTAGTACTTCTTTATTGCAGTTAAAGACAGACATTTATAATGACAAAGAATAAACAGTTACCCATTAGCAGAGAGATTAGACTGATTATTGGATTAAAACTTAAAGCACGTTAGCATATTAGCACTAAATGGCAGCATGCAGACACAGCTTGAGCAGTTAATATGTAGGCTATAAATTATTATTTTTTGCTACCAAATGAACATTCAGAAAAGTGTGGAACAGTGGTACAGTGGTTAGCACTCAGACCTCACAGCAAGGAGGTTTTGTGTTTGAATCCGCCCACTGGCTGGGGCCTTTCTGTGGCTGGGGAGTTTGGGACTGGGACTGGTAACTTTTTGATTGGAGTTTGCATTTTCTCCTTGTGTTTGTGTGTATTTTCTCCAGCTCCCCTGCACACATTCCAAAGACATGCACTTTAACAGGTTATTTGGTGACCATAGGAATGTGACAGGGAATGATTTGTTTGTGCCTCTTGCCCAATGTTAGCTGGGATTGGTTCCAGCCCCCTGTGACCCTGCAAAGGATACCGTAAGCGGGTATAGGCCATAGATGGATGGAACATTCAGTATATTCAAGAAGAGTCTACAGCCATGCTAGCAGCTCCGCAAGGCTTCTGTTTTACTTCTACATCAAAAGAAAAGCTATCACCAAAGTTATCACAATTTATCCTGAGGGATCACCAAAGTCAGTAGACGTCATCCTATGTGGACCACGAATGTCTGTACAGAATCCTGACAATCTATCCGGTAGTTATTGAGATATTTCAGTTTGGACCAAAGTGATGGACCAACCAACCAAACAAAAATCATAGAATATTAAGGATGACAGTGTCACAGCTAAAAATCTATCACATTGTAAAAGTTTTTTTTCCTGAATAAATGTGCCACCTACCACATATGACCTTTTCCACTGTTCATATTAAGTCATCTAACTAAACTGGCTACAATAATTCATCACAACACACATAAACAATAAAATGAAAAAAAAACTTGTCTTTTTTTTCTCCAAAGCATAGAGCAAGTTCTTTGTTGTATTGGTTGCAACAGATGTATAGCAGCAGTAGCAGAAAAAAAGCAATCTGAACCCGCGGTGAAGCTCAGGTGAACACTGAGCATCTTAGTTTCCAGGACAAACTGTCCTTTAGCTGCCGCTCATGAACTGCAGACAGCGTCACAGAGTCGCACATGAGATGCTGGCTGAAAAACAAAACATCTCTCCTGTTTCAACCTCGATGCTGTTTGAGACTGACACCGCTGACCTGGTATTTCGTTTTGTCAGCCAAGCTCCTCACACCGAAGACAAAAGGCAGATCGTGTGAACAACATGAGACACTATCTCTGCTTTGAGAATGAAATATTCAGCAGGTGCTCAGTGGGGAATGAGTCTGAAAAACTGTTGCTTAAAGAGAGTCCTCCTGTTGCTGACAATAGAAATGGGCCTCAGAAGTGTTATCAGCGCTCAAGGATTTGTAAGACAGAGGAGTTCTTTATATATTATTCAAATAATACCATTTCTGGAAAGCATGCCTGTTGTCGAAAACAACTTTAAGGCTGGAACGAACATTCTTCAACACAGTCTGCCAGAGAAAGTCCCAAAAAATAACTTAACTCATGTTCAAGGAGGTGTTTTGCCTCTTTAGACTTGACCAGGCCTGCAGGCACTCAGGACAAGACATGGAATTTTTTAGTGGTCCTTCTGCAGTCTGATGCTGATATGTTTTTAGACTTTGTGTACTTAGATTTGACAATTTTAGGTAAAATAAACATATTATACATAAATACATTTTAATAAATCGGCTATTTCAATGCGTAGACTGATGTATTTTTATGACCCTCAAATCATATTTTGAAGCGTTTACTAAGCGGAGATGAACTAAATTGCGTTCAAACTTAATGTATTTATCAAAAGCTGGTATAGCCCATCATACAACCTGCTCTTGACCTTTTTTGTTTGTTTGTTTGTTTGTTTGTTTTTTGACACAGAAGTTAACTGTTGTTGTAGCCTCAGCTCATCCTTTTTATTGTCAAATATTAGATGCTGATGTGACTGTTGTGATTTTATTCAAATAAGGTAAGCTCTCTGAAATATTTATTCTATATCTATATATACATCATCTCACAGTACAGTTTGCAGGTGCACCGTTCAGGTCAGATCAGATTTTGGAAAACATCTTACCCCTGCTGAAGATAAAGATATCATATTTCCTTACATTGT